CACACTCCCACACAGAGCTTTGGGGACAATTTCCGTGGATTCGGTAACTGCAGAGACCACCTCGGTTACATGGCTGTGTAAGCATCCCTGATCTGCAGGATGAAATTGGTCCAGGCTGTTGGCTGTCACAGGGTGTGGCCCCGAGAATAAGGAGGGGTCACTCAGCCACGCCCTGAGCCCGACCCCTCTCAAAGCATTCTTAAGTATATCTGCCCCCAAGGCACAGTGGGTGACCCTTGGTGGGTCACTGGGAGCCTCTGTCTGCAGGCTTGACACTGACTCATGTTGGATCCAGGACTGAGGGAACAACCACAAACCTCCCAGCTCCTGCGGGCACCAAGCTCTGTGGCCTCCCTCCCTTGCTGAGCTGGGGGCCCGCCTGTGCTGGGTCAAGCCCTCTTCACCTGGACTGACCTCAGCTCCAAGCTTCTGTCCTGTGGGTTCGTGAAATCGATACCTGGCCCCACCAACCCCCCACCCCTGCCCAATAGTTCCAGCACAGGAAACTGCCTGCCCCAGTGTTCCAGGCAAGCATTAGAGGTGGGACATTTTTAGGAAAATGATCTTCATCAGAAATGGGTAAAACTTCTGGGATGCGTCATTAAACTGGACATTACTGTAAGTAGCCAAAGGAGGGCACCCCCTTTCTTTGCTGGAACCACGTGACTGTACAGCTTTTCAGTAGTTGCTTCTGTGGATTAGGGGAAGATGTTTCTCAAAAGCTGGTGTTAAGAAACAGCATTTGTTGGGACCTGGATGTACCCTATGGTAGTTCCTGGGCTGGCTGCCCCTGCTTTAGCCACTAAAACAGCATTGAGAAGGGTGGATGCTCTGATCTGCAGCTGGGGCTTCTGGTCCCAGCCCTGACCCTGTCAGCAATCAGGTACTTACCCTGGGTGGCCTCAGTCTGCTCATCTGGGAAGTGGGGACCCTAGGATCCTTTCCACATAAGGCTGTGAAAGGGCTTTAAAAAGGACAGGGATCATGGGATAGGAGGGATGGCCATTCCTTAGGAGGTGGGAGGGGTGTTGACCTCTAATTTCCTAACTTAATTGACATATCAAAGTAATAACATCCTGCCAGCACCATCGGGAGTTTCATGTGTGAGACTCAAAAGCCATGGAAGAGAAAAGAGAGACATTCAGTTTTCTTCCTCTAAATAAAAGTATGAAATGAAAGATTATATAAAATAAAAATATATCAATGCATCTGAAAGGCATATGGATGGCTTCAAATTGCCTCCTTTCCACCTGCCTGATCTTTGTGAAGACACTTGATCCTGTGGGCCTTAGAATCCACATCTGCAAAATGTTTGATACAGAGATGAAATTGAAATTAAAGTGTAAAAAGCCCTGTCTGCTACTGTGGCCGCACTTGATGTGGTCCAGCAAATGCTTCTAACCTATTATTCAGGAGCATTTCCTTTTTGGTGCACATTCATGCCCAGCTTCCACCTTACCCTATAACCAAGGTCTGGAATCTCCCAAACATGCCCAGGCCTGGAGAGGCAGCCCTTCAGCAATGCCAGTGGTGCCGTCCACTGTGTTCCAGCTCGGGCACAAAGCAAAAACTGAGCCCTTCTTTATGAAAGTGCTGAAGATTCCAAAACATCAGAGCTCAAAGGACAGATCACTGCATACAGTCTCCTCTCACTTTTATGCACACGTGGAGACAGATCCCAGGAGTCCTGGCTCCCATCTGGGCTCCTTTTCACTGCAGTGGCCCTCCACCATCCAAGGCTATAAAACAGCATAAGCCCTCCACCTTGGAGTTGGCAGGTCCCTGCTTCCTGCCCCGCTGCTACTGTGGGATGCTCTGTAGAGGGAATTTAGGGGAAAGGCCAAGGTCTGCACAATGTGATTTCTTGGGTTTTCCTGGTAAAATTTGCTGCAGGTTGTGGAATCGGGAAGTTCATTCCCAGGTCCCCTGGCAGATTAAGACAGGCTGGGGGGTGCAGGGAAAGGGGTGCTCCCTGCCTGGCCTATGTTCTGGATCCTGGCCATCTAAGTCCTGCCAAGAATCCTCTCTCCGTGGTCGTCCTGGAGGGATTGCTGAGTTTGAAGCAAGAGGATAGTAAATTATTCCCCCTCTCTGCAGAATCTGGGGTAGGAATTCCTAATCTGGCGGGGGTGGGGGGGGTCCTATAAGTTCACCTTTGGGCACGTGGGAGAAGACTCCTGACTCTGCTGCCTTCTCACGCTCTGGAGGTCTTCTAGAACACTCAATTTTCCCTTCATTTTTCCCGAGCACATCTCGGAATACTAATTAATTTGTGTATGCAACACATTTGAAAGCAGTGCTTATTGAACACAAGTCAGTATTTAGGCACTGGGGAAACTGTGGCCCTGTGCCTGTGACGTTTATGTGCAGGGGGGAAGTCAGGTAGGAAAGACTGAACAAACAAAGTCATTGTATGCGATGAGCCCTGTGAAGGACACCAAGGGAGAGGTGGGATTGGGGATAATGCAGGGAGGGCGTGTGGGGTTACTTCATGTTTCTAACTTAATTTTGTAGTAACTTTAGATTATTTAGATTCAGGGAAAATTGTTGCAAGAATTGTTGCAAGCAAGGTCCCATAGACTCTTTACCCAGCTTTCCCTAATGATAAGCATCTTACATAACCAAAGCACAGCATAATGACCAAAACCAGGAAACTGATATTGGTACGATATTATTAAGTACACTACAGACTTTTCTAGAATTTTGCCGGTTTTCCGACTTACGTCCTTTTTCTGTTCCAGGATTCAATCCTGGATCCCACATCACATTTCACTGTTAGGTCTCCCTGATGTGCTCTGACCTGTAACAAGTGCTAGGCCATTCCTTGTCTTTCATGCCCTTTCTTATGAAGAGCCCTGGTCAGGTATTTTGTAGGCTGTCCCTCAATTTGGGTTTAGCTGATGCTTTCTCATTATTAAATTGAAGTTACGGATTTTGGAGAAATCCACCTCGGAATTTGTGTCCTCTTCTAAGCACGTCAAATTGGATGATATAATGTCAATATGTATTATTACTAGTGATGTTAACTAATTCTTTGGCTAAGGTGGTATCTGCCAGGTATCTTCACTGTAATGTCATTATTTTT